AGAGAGAGACAGACCATCAGAAAAAGTACATATACATATATGCCACCTTATAACAGCTCTGCCTAGCAAAACTTCAAGTGAAGCTTGTGTCTTTGTGAAGACAAGAAGTCATTAGCCACAAGACACAAATCATCCAAGAAAACAAACTTCTGCAGCTGCAATACTTGCAGAACTATTTATTCATCTTAAGTTATGTATGAATTTCATTGCCTTTAAAGATCAAGTGCAACTTTCTCATCTGGGATGAGAAATCCTCTGTACAGGATTTGCTGTTGGCTGTTAATGAACCCTGATTCTCAGAAGAAGCAGCAGTCCCCGGACATGAGAAGACACCACCATTTGACTATGGACGTTATCCATGTACTTAATGGACCTCACTGCAGATATGTCCTAAACAAAGAGCCAGCTTATAAAAATTAAAAAGATTCTATGAAAAATGCTGACTACTAAGAGACAGAGGTGATCCCTGCCAAGGTTTTATATCACAGATAAGCAGTGTATGAGGCACTTGTCCTCTTATTAGAATATGAATCTATTAATATGATCCAAGTGACATTTAAGGAAATGAATATCCCATTATTCCATAGGGGTCTCATTAAAGATAACCTCTCCTGAGGTTGCTTGATGGCAAAGTTTGTAAGTGGATTAGCAGGAAGCATGGATGAATGAATGAATGAATGAATGAATGAATGAATGAATGAATGAATGAACTTCAGTGATTGCTCCTTATAATGACTCCAGGTAATTAAAAAGACCAGAGGTATCTGGAGAATTCTAAGTCTAATAGTGGTCTAACAGTATTTTAAAAACATCTAATGATGAAGTTAATTGAGCTTTAGAATTCATTTAGCTGGTCCTTGCCTTAACAAATAGCTTTTATGTGATGGAGGAATTAGAAGTTAAATATTGTCTCAATAAGTCTTCAAAGATGTTTCCTATTTTTTGTGTTGGCCATTATTAAATAGTAATGTTTATGCAAATTATAGTGCCAAAGCCTTTTCAGTATCATAAAATGTTACTCTGAAAACTCATTAATTTTCAGCCACCATGTTCACAGAGAAGTACAAGACAAAACGGGTGCTAAAGGCAGCACTACAAGCTGAGTACAAATCCAGGCACTAAGAGGACATGGTCAGGTTCAGGAAGGCATTACTATTCACTGCCTTCTCCTGGGATCTTGGTAAAGAATGAGGGGATAGAGTGTTCACTGGTTGTCCAAATAGCAGAAAGTTTTATTTTTAACCTGGGTCTCAGTAGAACTGCATTCTCTATACGTAAATGTTTAAAGTGGAGAGCTCAGCTGAACAGATGAGGATCAGATTTTCTTGGGTGGGATTTAGTTCATTTAACTGTTATGTTCCTGTATCCTGGGAGTGTAATAGAGCAGACCTTTCTGAGGAAGTTCCTAAGTTCCTTAGATAGTCAAAATGAGAAAGAGAAATGGTTTTAATGCCACCAGAGAGGGTCATGTACACCTAAGTCCTGTACTCAAACTTGGATGAGTAAGAACTCCCTCTGGAAGTTTTTATAGTCGCTGTTTGCTTATTCCACCACCTAATGACTCTGAGAAGGTACAGGAAATCAAGAACCATCAAATCAGTCATAATAACAATTATAACATGTAATTTTCCATATTTTTCTGTATTCTGAGAAAAGCTATTAAAGCTATCCACTACAGCCATGCTGTCTCATAGACAGCCTAGTAGCAGCAGGAATGACAGAGCTCTGGAGGCCCAATCACACTAAGCATCATTTAAGCTACAGATCCTTGATGTACTCTTTCCAGAGCCTCAGAGGCAACCAGACCCATCCAGACCCTCAACCTGTTGCTCTGACTCCAAGGAAAAGTCCGTACTTATCTGACTGCAACTGCAATTAAAACAAAACAAAACAAAACAAAAAAAAAAAAAAAAAAAAAGGCTTTTTTTGTCCCTTTTTTTTTTTTTTTTTTTATTCTCACTATCTCAAGACTCCATGCATTTTTTTCCTCTGAAAATATCTGTCTTCCCATTTCTCTGTTTCATACTCTTGGTATATTTTATTATTGCAAAACATTTTGAAACACATTTTGCATGAAAGACACTGTCCTGAGGAAGGGCCAACTCACACTGTGTTGTTTGCATAGAGAGCATGAAGGAGGAAGAGCAATAAAAGAGCAACTTAATTACTTTGGAGCCACGGTGCTTCCTGCTGCCACAGCCTCTGCATGAGGTCCTGACGCAGCCACCGGCCTTGGTGAGAGAGGCCTGATCTTGCTGACAACTCCTCTGGTGCAGCTTTACCCAAAGCCACTGAGCAGCTCACAGCAAATGAACAGGACACAAAAAGTGGCAGGACATCAGTGACTTAGCCCAGGCTAAAAAACTTACAGAAACAGCAGTGACCTCCAAAAAGCACAAAAGCCTTCCTGCCCTGTTCTTCTTTCTGCCCTGTTCTCTCTCCTCTGCTGAACAAATCATAGCCTCTTCTAGCAGTGCTGTTCACCTCCCCTTGAGAGGTGCTTTATCCAGGAAAAGAATGAAAAATCAGAGCACAGCTGCAAAAAACAATTCTCACTTGTGGCCTAAGTGCTCGTATTTTTTGTATCTGAACAAGCTAGAATGATATGACCTAGCCTACATTGCATATGTTGAGATTGTGAGACACAGTGGATAGATCTGGATCTGACTTCTCAGTTTATTCCAGAGCCAAAGATTACTAGTGACTATGCCTGATGCTCTGGGGTAAGCACATTCATCAGTAGGAAGCACTTGAGAATTTTCTCATTCTTCAGTGGATTTGGCTTTGAGCAAAAATCCACAAAAGTAATACAAGCCCAAGCGATCATAGTTTGTTTCCTTTAGAAAACACTCATTTTCTTGTGGCCAGTCCTAGCAACAGCGTGCCTGTCTTAGCAGCCACAGCTCTGTTGCATTTGCCTTTCCTTCTGTTCTTCCTGCTTGACCTTGGGAAAATTCTTGCTGCCCGTCCCAGGTTGCAATTCCACTGCTGAAATAATTGAGCTATAACAGTAACCTTTCCATTGACTTCTTTCTTTTTTTCCAGATTCAAACATTTTGCTTTACTGCTTTTTGTTCTCTTATCTCTTTAGAATTTTGTACCTGGGAACTTATCTATATGCAAAATCAATGTTGAGAACTTCAATGCACCATCTGTCTCTGTTTATATCCAGTGACATCCCAGACACAGGGCTTGTACCAGAAAGTCTCTACCTCTAGTCTGAGTATACAAATAAGAAAGGATTTAGCAAATTCTCTGTATTGTTTTAAATGGTTCCAGCAGGATTATCCACCTCAAATCTAACCATTGCCAGTAGTGTAGTAGGTGTCTACAACATTTCTTTCCCCACAGTTTTGTGTGCTATTTCCACAGAAGTTAATGTAATCAGCAAGTTCACTCTCAAATGTGCCCTTTTCTGCAGTGGCTGCAAGTTGAAGTGAGCCACTGGTCTGCTTCCAGGTTAGGAATATCATAGTACTAACTAATACTCTATTCTTTTTTGTTCATATGCCATGCACATGACTTTCCACTCTGAAAAGCCAAACCTAAACAAAAAACCATCCCAAGCCCACAAAAACATTGATTTCCTTTTTCATAGATGAAATATGGAGCATTTTTGCCACTTGAAAGTCAAACCCGTCTCTTATATGCCACTGCATTCACTGGTTATTATCAAGGAGAAATAAGGCTCATTTTTGGGAATGATTTTTCCTTTAAGATTTGTCTTTTTCCTACTCATTCATATGTCTTGTTCCTCCAAGACTAACTGTTTCATTACATTCCAAGTTACTCTTCTACTGAAACTGTGTAGATGGTATCAAAGAAAGCACATCTCACAGAAGTACCTCCGCAGCACATTATGGACTGCACATCTCCCTAAGAGCAATTTAAAATGAAGAACAACCTTTTCCAACATCCTTTCAGAACTGCACATGGACATTAGCCAGACACAAGACTGAGCTGCAGAGGGTGCATCTGCTCTTCACAGTGCTCATCACTGATGTCTAACCCACAGTAAAGTCATTTGGCCAAAAAAAGCGTGGATGAAACAAGCGTACCAGAAGCCAGATGAACCTGTCCTTCCTCAGTGTCCATGGAAGGAAATGTGTCTGATCCAGCCAACACTTTCTCAATATTTCATTCCAGAGAATGTGATATCTGTAAGTACGTTATTCTCCAAATGAGCTAAAGAAGCCAGTGTTCTCATTTACACTACCTTATCATCTCAGTTGATCTTAGCACAACCATTAATTCACTCCAGTGTACATGATGTCAAAGTATCCCTGAAGGTCTCAGCAGCCAGCCGAAAACCTGGCAGAGTTTTCGAAAGTCATCTGCAAGTTTTCACTTTCCAGCAAACCTGTTTCCTAATGCACTCCTTCGCTAGGTCCAGTTCCCATTACGGTGCCACGATCTGACCCCTTTGCAGTGGGGTCAGAAGGATCTCGCATTTCCCACGGGCAACTCTGCCCCGTGGAATACGGACTTAATATGGGTTGGTGTTTTTTTTTTTTTTTTTTGGGTTTTTTGGGGTTTTTTTTTTTTTTTTTTGGGTTTTTTGGGGTTTTTTTTTTTTTTTTTTGGGTTTTTTGGGGTTTTTTTTTTTTTTTTTTTCCAAGGGACTAGCCCCGGCTCGTTTCAGGGATGTATGCTGTGCGACAGCCGCGGGACGGTAAGAGCCAGGCGTTGATGCGGGTTTGTACGATGCCCGGTGCCCTCCGTCCCCTAACGCCGGTGGTGTGGGGGGCTCGCCCCACTTCCAGGTGAGCACAGGGACTCTCCCGGGCTCTAGCACAGACGGTGCGCAGCTCAGACCGCCCCGTCCGGGCGCTGGGCAGCGGCTGCCCCGCCCGCCGCGGCCCGCAGCCCAGTCCGGCAGCCTCCGCGGGCCGCGGGACGGCAGCGGGAGCCGGGGCCGCGGCTGGAGCCGCGCAGGGGAGCGGGAGCGAGGCGCGGAGCTGCCCCAGCGGGGCGGCTGCGGGCGGGAAGGTGCCGCGCTGCCGGTCGCGCCTGGGCCGGAGCATCCCGAGCCGGAGCATCCCGGCGGAGTCAGCCGTCTGCTTTTCGAGGGAGATCGACACTCCGGGTGTGGGGTGTTTTTTCTTGTCTCTGCCCTAACCCGGTGCGCGTTGTTCGTGCTCTCGGTGCCAGCGGAGCCTCGGCGAACACGGCTGCCCGGCGGCCGAGCGCTGCCGCTCGCACGTTCCCGCAGCGCCGGGGCCGCTCGCTGCCGCTGTCCGGCGCCGAGCGGTGCCGCGCCGGCTGAGGCGGGTCCCGGCGGGTCCCCGGCGGGTTTGGGAAGCTGCTGTGCGCCCTGGAACAGCTCCCGCCGCGCCTCGACCGTGCTGCTGCTCCGAGGGAGCATCTTCAGCGGTTTGCCTGTCCTGTGGTGTAACCAAGGGCATTTGATTTTCACGAGCGTTTAACCGAGGTATGTGTTTTGTGGCCTGCTCTTGATCGTTCACGAACGTCTTTTGAAAAGAACCTGTATTTAGCCTAACTCACTTCGCGGGTTGGCGAGTGCTTGAATTGAACGAACGCTTCTTGGGTTTGGAGAAATTGCTTTCGGCGGAGGCAAAAAGGGGAACGCTCTGGGAGAGCGTGGTGACAGCACGGGGCTGCACAGCTTCTGGAAGGAGGGATGCGGAGAGAAGGGAGGCACGGGCTGGTTTCTTTTGCTGGAAGATGCTGCAGCCCAGGGGTGTGATAGCGCAGACCATTGGGTCATCACTGTGCAAGCAAATTCTTGGCTCAGCGGGCATAAGCACAGGCTGCCGCCCGTGTGCTCTGTCACGATGCTTGCAGAAAGATGACGGAGAAAGCCTTGCTCCCTCTGCAAATAAATTGTAACATGCCTATCCAATGTAGTGGGAGAAGAGCTGAGCTTGGACAGCACAGCATGGGAAAAAAACGCAGGATGGATGCACAAAAATATGCCCTTTGCAAGCATTTTATGTCTGCCTGAAAGCTGCAGGCTGTTTCAACATCATCTTGCTAGATGCAATAAAGTTTGGAACAGAAATCAAGTGTCGCAAACTCTTCCTAGCCTTGCAAATACTAAACAGTTAGAGGAAAATTGTGAAAATAGTGGTAAAGGGCTGAGAATTTGCCACGCTGATTAACATTTATATAAGCAAAGACAATTAGGAATGCATACTAGCTATTATTTAATTAATTCTCAGCTAATTATAGCAGAATGGGAGAAAGATGAATAGGAGAAATGTGTGAAATCTGCACCATATAAGATGCATATAGCGATGGCAGTTTTATTATGATGAGGGATCCAGCTGGAGTGTCATGTCTGTTTCCTTGTGATTTTGCTTTTTACAGTCATTTTGAACCCACTCTAACTTTTCTGTGCCTGAACAGACTGAAACAAAAGGCAACCTGAAACCACCAGCTGCCTTCTCTCTGTTATTATGCCTAGAAGGGCTTGTTCCCCTTAGGGATGGTTGCTGGTTGTAGCTGTGTACTGGCTGCCTTCCTTTCCCACCTCTTCCTCAGACTGGGTCACCCCTATCACCCAAGGCGGGGAAAGAAAAGGCAGGCATGTCCCCCCTGCCTCCCTCACGTTTCCCCAGCTTTCCTATGCTGTGGTACACAGGCTGGCCTGCCTGCAGGCTGCTACTTGCTATATCCTGTACGTGTGCTTTGCTGTCAACAGGATAAATGCTGCAGGACCTGGAACTGCTAGGGAAGGGGTCTTGGGCTATTTCAGCATCCAGGCCTAATCTTGTACTATCACCATGTATGTATGTATGTGTGTGAATATATTTGGCATAGAAAGTTATTGTCGTGGGCATTTTGCTAACCTTTTCAGACATAAGAGGCTAAACTGGGATAACTCGCCTCTGCCAAGTGTCTTTTTCATAATTGGGTCTTACTGGTGCAGTGCAAATTGTAAATTGTATTCTGTAAATTCCCCATCAGAAGCAAGAAGCAGCAGAGCCTTTCCTTCTTGCACCCCATCTACACAGAAGCAGAAGAGGGATTATCTCAACAACAAGAGTACATTCAGAAGTTGATGAAAAATCTGATGTTTCTGATAGGTCTGAGACTTGGAATCTAAATACTAAAAAGTCAGTATATTTTCACCTCTACTTCTTGCACTCTTTTGCAAGCAGTCCTCTCCCTGTGTCTTCATGACTGCAGTTGCCTCCTTTTCCTGGCTTGCACAGAGGAAATCCTGTTATGACATAGTCGACCCATGGCTCTGCTGCAAAACACACCTCTTAGCCTGCCACCTCGTCTGCATCTCCCCTCTTTGTCAATCCTTCTGCTGCTCCCTTTCCCCATGAATCTGACATGTCAGTCTGAGGCTTCAAGTGTCCTTGACAGTCGCCTTGAACATGAGATACCAAGTCTCCTGTTTTCCCAGGTGGTACTCCTGGGCTTTGATCAGCCTGTGCTCTCAGCATCTTTCTCCCTCAAGCCATCATCTGCATTTCTTCCAGCTCTACCTTGTGCTTACTTGTACCTTCATATAGGCACTTTGTCCATCATTCCTTTGATTATGTCCCAGCACGTTTGCTTTAGTTTGATGCCTTCAGCAACCGTCTGGTGAGATGCTAAGACAAGCACTCACCCGGTCTGTCATCATCCCTGCCACTGGAATTTCACTTGCTCTGGATTGGAGCACAACAGTGTCCTCTAAAGCTAGGACATCTGAGAGGCAGTTGTTGAACAGATCACTCTATCAAGCACCAGCACAGACTCTCCTTCCATAGCCTACAGATCCTCACTTGCTCTTTTTTGGCATTTCAGGTGCAACCCTGCCCCCTTATGCTTGCACAGCACAGCATGGCTCACTGCATCTCCCTTTGCAATCGTGTTTCTCTTTGCCTAAGTTGTTGCAGGCTGTTTCGCAAACAGGGACTATATGTGAATATTAGGCACACAAACATGCCATGGTTTCTTCATCAGGGGAGAACATGCATGCAGCCTGTGTTGGTAAAATAAGGAATCGTGAGGATAGCGATCTTCTGTTACAGCAGTGAGGGGAAACAGAGAATCCAAGGAGAAGGGTGTTTTCTTACTTTTGTTAGTAAAGCATAAGATACCCAAGTCAGGAAGCAGAGTTACAGTGAATGGAGTTACTGTGATAGCACATCTGTGCCTAAAACTCCCATTTAAGTGACATTTAAGTGTACAGACATTTAAGTGCAGTTGATACTGAATCTGCATTTTTTTGGAGAGAAAAAAAATATCTGAGAATGGTGCATTAACAGAAATTTCTGTTGAACCAAGTGTAAAAAATTGTATCCTAGCTTTACGTTGTGACAAGGTTCCTAAGAAGGTTGAAATTAAATCTGCTTGGTATTTTTGGGTGTGATATGGATTTATAAAATTTGTGATTTATAAAAAGTGTGATTTATACCAGTTGTTTTTATAAAATATATTGAAATCAGTATATTGGCTGAATTTTGCAATAGAAAGGTGTTTTCTTATTGTTCTGGACTCTGCTTCCTGGGTCACATCTTCACTAGTTAAGGACCAGTAACCCCATTGACTAGCAAAGTTAACTTTGCTTTTACTGTTCGGCAAAGCTCCTTGCTGTAGTCTGCCCAGAATTCTCCTGAGACAGGAGTGGATGTGCCCACATGGAGTGATGGAGATGAGGGCTCTCAGCTACACTCGTGTGTGCAGCCACGTCATCAGCATCGGGCAGGAGGATGTGCTGCAGTACTGGCAGAGACAATAGAGAGCTTAAGTCCCTTCAGTTCCAGATTTAGCCACACTTGGTCCTAAAACTGCATTCCTTGTAGATTAAGGGGGTGGGTGTGATACTTTTGAGGGATTTTTCCCTCTCTACCTGGAGGTAAACCTGAGAGTCTAAGTGCTGCAAGTTTTTAGTTTCACACATGAGCATGATGGAAAATGAAAGCAAGCTCTGATAACAAGGACAGCTTGCCCTGGAGCTTGGTATTTTATCTAGTATGTTTTGGTCTGAATAAACAATGTGCAGGAGCTGAAGCACTGCCCCATGAGAAGTGTGGTAGTTTCAGGAAGGGCGAACACAGTGCACAGCCCTCCACTGCTCTGGCCTCTTGGTCTCAGTTGTGGAATCCAGTGATGCTCTTCCTGTGTCAAATAAAAGAGGTGGTTATTGGGAGCCCATGTGAAGAGTCAGGCATAAAGTGGCAAAGCTTAATTAACTTTTGTTTATTCTGAGATTAATTACATCACCACTATGCGACACAGATGTATGCTGGATGGAGTCTCCTGAGAGGCTCATCAGTTGGTGGAGTGCTCCACACAGCGTTTGGGAAGAAGGGGTAGCAGGAATGGGAGTCTCAACCACAAAAGAAGGCAACAAGGCAGAAGTAGTTGAAATACTTTCATATACTTGTTCCAATGAGGAAAATGGGTTTTAATGGAATTTTCATTTCTCATTAAGCAGTCATTCCACACTACTCTAAATTTTCTGTTCAAACAAAACTTCCAAATCAGATGTTGCAAGAAATTAAACAAGAAGTCATTACACGAAATGCAGCAGTCAAGGATTCCTGACACCTGCTGGTTTCTCCTCTTCTCTGGCTAAACTTGCCCTGGACCTCCTTTCCTGCTGGGCACCCAGGACCTGTTGCTTTGACAGTGACACCTTAGTGGCTGTTTTTAACTGTAGAAGTCAATTACCAAGATTTAAAGCTGTTATGGGCAACTAAATGGCTGTATGAACCTTCATGTCTTCTCTGCCTGATCACCCACTGTCATTTAACTTGAGGAGCTCAAATCTGTTTGAGGTTTCTGCCTGGATTGAATTTGGATGAGGGTGGCAACAAAAGTTATTCAGAGTGGCAATAAGGGGAATAGATTTGGGACTGGACATCAAGAAATCAAATATGACCCATCCCTACTGTCAGCAAAGAGTAGGCTGTTAAGTTTTGGGTGGGTTTTTTCAGCATCATGTATTTTTCCACAGGAAATTTTTAAAACAGAAATAAATATTTTCAACAAGCCAGCACAGGAAGGAGACTGATTTCCTTGGTGATTGTATCCTTTGGGTGAGATTCAGGCTGATGGTCTCATAGGATGCTAGACCAGGTGTGCCCCATTTCTCTTTCTAAGGTCTCAGAGGCACAGCAGCGAGACTCCTTACTCCTCTCCACATCCTGAGAGATACAGGGAACAGATAGATCCCTATTCCTTGCATATCTTACTGGCACAGTGAATGAATACACTGTTTGGCCAAATCCTTCTGTAGGCTACTACTGCAGCTGAAATAGTAAAAATAGCTATGAGGGGCATTAGAGTCATGCAAGAGGATGGAGAGCTGTGGGATACAACTGTGTATGGCAAGGGATTTTCTGAAGATAAGCTTGTTGATGTTCTGGTCCAAGTATTTCTCTGATTTTCAAAGATAATTAAAAGTTCTGCCCTTCCCACCTCACTGTGTACACTTGCCATTTGAATATGAATGCCTGCACTTAGGAAGCCTGGAGGACTTCTTGTGTTTTTCACTTCACGTTTAATCAGCCCAAGATTTGGTAGGGTCTGGTCCCCTTGCCTTGCTGGAGATTGTGGCACTGTTGTATTGAATGAGGGGCTAAATGGGCTAAAGCAGTGCTCTGTGTATCTGGGGGGAGATGGGCTAACAAAGATTCTACCAAGAAAAAAGAGCAAAATACTTTGTATTTGTCTTGGCTGAAGATACAGCCCTGTTGCAGAGATCTATGCCTCTTTCCCCCAGGAAAGAAAGAAAGCGGAGGAAAAGGATCTCTGCTACGAGCAAACAAAACTGAGGGGCATAGGGTAGAGCTCTTGGCCATGTGCGGCATATTTGCCAGAGAAAATGCATAGAGGGGCTGCTGTACCCCTCTCCAGCTGTACCACACCTGCCTCAGCCCCAGAAGCAGTTCTGGGTGAGGTGACAATGGTGCACATCCTCACATCCCGTGCATATGCTGGGTCCATCTCTGGGGCAGCTGACTTTGGAGTCCACCTACAGCCTCCTACCTGTTCTTCATGAAGAGATGGTCTGGAAGCTGTCTGACTCCCTTTGGTGGAACTTTAGTATAGTCAGTGTTATCAAAACATTTGGATTTCAACAACACTGTCTTTTAACAGCTGCACTAGACAATTTTCTTTATTGAACTTGGAGAGGCTTAAACCAAAAGTGATTCAGTGACTGAAGGGATGAAAGCAGCACAACAATGCATCAACATCCATCCCCAGAGATCTGCTTCTCTAACACAGTCAAACCAAATGTGCTGAAGGGGCAGAGCTCTAAGATGTACAATGATTATGAAAGTGTCTCTTGTCTCTCAAAGGGGAAAATCTGTTTGAGTGTGGCCCATCTCTTGCTTTAATCTGTATCATTTGGGATTGTTTCTTCATGTACAAGAAATTTAGTTTACTTTATTAAAAACAATTAAGGGACTATGTTTTAATTTTTGGTATTGAATGCATGTAGCACACAAAATTCTTCTAGCTGTTCTTGTGCACATAACATATTCAGTTTGGATATTTCAAGTGTGAAAACTTAAACTGCAGATAGTCAGAAATAAAGAGGATGAATAAATAATAGTGTGTAATCCAAAAGACCTGATTCCTGGCAGAAGTCTTCAGGGTATAATGTGAAATGAATTGGAGAGCAGATACAGTGCTCTAGTGCTTAAAAAATGCCAGGGGACAAATGTCTGTCTTGGTCCTGGAGCACACTGCAGAACAAGGGAAAGGTGTTATCAAAGCCTGTCTGTAAAGCAGAGTTCAGGATCATGGTTTTGATGTTGTACATGGCATGCTGTAACTGGGCAGAAGAAGGATGTTGTTAGCATGAATAAAACACAAGCCAGGATTCCAGTTGGTTTGGATTTTTTTTCCTGAAATTTCTCCCAGTAAGAGCAGTCAAAATTCAGCACTTGTCCTTCCTTTATTTTATTATTATTGTAGTTATTACTAAACTCTTCCACTTTTATTTGCTTTTTTTAGGGGCTTTTCTCAGCATGCAGTCCCTTTAGATTTGGGCGTGATCACCAACCACATCCTCTGCATTGGACATTTGGCTTCTATTTCCATATCTTCTTCCTGCTTGTAAGTATTTTATTCTTTCTCCTTGCTCATTTTTCTTTTACTTTTAAAGACCAGATTTAACTCACGGGTTCTGGGTCTGATCCCAGGTCATGATGTCTTTGATTTACATTGATATAAATGACTCTATAATCCGCAGATCCATGGGAAATGTAAATTAGAGAATCATTGGAGCCTATCTGAATTAATCTAAGTATCCTTATGGCGCAGAGGGTTTCCTTTTTACAGCCCCACACAAACCCCCAAACAAAATATAACTTAATTGTAACCTGCAACCAAGCCATCTGGGCACTTGTCTTCTTAGGTTTTCAAAGACATAAATTTAAATCATATTAAATCATAATAAAAAAATGAAATTAGATCATAAATTAAAAGGAAAACTTTGCTTGTAGCAGGAAATAGTTTTTCTTTTCCTTCTGTGCTCTATTTTATTGAGTCAGTTGGCAATTGATCCTGTTTCCCAGGAAGAATGGAAAAAGGATTCTCTGCTCCTGGAAGGTCCATCTGTAATAGAAAAAAAGAAGCATCCTACTTACTTGTGGTCTTTAATTGCCAAAGGCATGTATCCAAGAAGAGGTATTAAGGATCATATTATTGTTAAACTGCAAGCTAGAAGTCATTCTTTGCCTTTCCTACCTACATTTTCAATGGAAAAAAATGTTGCTCACATCTTTCGTTCTGTCTAACGCTAATGTCTTATTTAGTTGCATGATGTTAAACTGCTACACTTTTCCAGTCTAGAGCATATTGCCTTTCAAGGCTAAAGTGCTCCTGGTAGGTAAAATTCATTCAGCCCTTTAGTATGAGCATGAAAACATATTTTTATTGACTTTAAATTTTTGTGTTACATGTTTGCTGGAAGGGAAATATTGGTAACCTAGGAAGGAAATAAATGTAGAAAACAAGAGTGGGAAGATGAAAGAATTAAACCAGGAGCTCCCTGGCCTTCATACATATATCAATCTAGTGAAGACTTGCTGCCAGCTTTTGGGACCAATCACTGTGATAGCAGAACTTGGGGAGGAGCAACACATCTTTAGGGATGAGTAAGTCTCAGAACTGGCATCACCGTATCACCTGGGAACCTGCACAATCTTCCTCCTGCTTTTCCTGCCCTGTTACAGCATATTGAAGTTTGGCCAGATGAGGGACCTCTCTGTTGCAACTGTTCTAAAGGCAAATTAAGATTTCATCTCTTAGGAGATGTTTACAGTAAGGGCTTTCTAGGATACCTTCTACCTGTAAAAAAACAGTTCATAGGAGATTGTGACAAAAGTGTTAGTTTATGTAATATACAAACATTTATTTTCTTTGATGTCAGTTTGTCTCTCTGCTTAAACATTTTGAAGACACTGAAATAACCAAGATACCTCTCAGCTTGTAGTCACAAAAATACAGGAAGAGCCAAGAAAACGAAGTGCTTTTCTGTGACTGATAAACTCAAAAGAAATTTGGTCTACCAGACTTATCTTTGCTGCTTGTTCCTCAATTTTTAGCGTTTCAGTGGTGTGAGTGCAGGCCATTAAATTATATATGACTGAGCCTGAAGAAGTAGAGTTGTTGCATCAAGATATATGAAGAAATACAATACAAGCAGTAAAGCATTTACGACATTGGGAGTATGAAAAAGCTCTGTTCATGCCATTCTTCAGGGTGTTGCAGTCTCATTTAATATCCACTTTAGTCTGAACTGGGAGATGGCTACTGTCTTAGCAATGCTAAGGATTAAATTACATGTCACATATAATTTGGCACTCAGGGCATATGCTAATTGTGAGGTCTCTGCTCCTGACCACATCTGCATTTCCTTACAAAATGGATTTTCTAGCAGATACCATCAGATATGCAATAGTGGCTAGCTTTGGCATGGCTGCTCAGGCGTGGAACTCCTGGTACCTGCACAGTGATACACAGGGATGCCTTGTCTGATCCCTCACCTGCTCAGTTTGTCCTTCTTCTGGTGAATGCCACCTTGCCCATCTCCTGCTTACCACAGGATAAAAGGAAATATTAAAAACTCCAACTGAGCCTGCCTACAGTATCTGCTAAGTTGTCTTACCCCTGGAGTAAGAGTGGTTGTCCGCACCTGTGAAAGGTATTTTTACTAAGGACCTGAATGAAGAAACATGCACAGCTGGAAGAATATAGCTAAATAGTGGCTCTGGTTGAAAAGCCAGGATGTACAAATGACACCATGTATCTAGGAGAGCCTTTCCTTTTCTGCAACACTCATATTTGAGGACCAGAGTAGTAGAACAAGGTGTTGCTCTCTTGTACATCTAAAACCAGCAGAGTGTGGAGGTAGGTAGAGTCTGTGCCTTCTTGGACCAGTGAATTGTTTTACCGAAATGTGTGAATCTTCTAGGCAGGTTGTCCATCAGAGCAGCAAGGCTGTGTAACCAAGGAGCAATAACAGCAGGAAAACTCAGCCATAGTCAGAAAGGCAGAGTATGATCAGCAGTGAGGCTGGACTGGAGGACTCAGGGAGCCTCCTCAAGTCACACAGCCCTATCCTGGCATTGCAGAGGTGCTTCTGACAAAGTAATCCAGATCCAGCTACACCACAAAATCTGAGACCCCCTGCAGACAGGTGCCAGTTCTGCTGTCCCAGGAGTTTTCAAGAGTGGTTAATTGGAAAGCTGCCTCCTGTCAGACAGAGTTCTCCATCTGCATCATTCAGGAACAATACTTGGAATTCATTCTTTGCCTTAAACCAACTCAACTTTCCAAAAACAGATGACAGAAAGGCAGGGACCACCACAGAATGTGAAAACTTTGCCTCCATCGTTCATTTCCTGGGTCAGTTTACAGCTCTCAGAAAGACAACAGGTTTGTTGCTGTCTACCAGCTTTGCCATTATGCTTTGATGTCAGTGGAAAAATTCCCAACCATATTTGGGGACTAGTTATGGGCTAAATGTTATGATGTTGTTGTATTTAGTTTTCAGAAATGCAAAAAACAGCCAATTACCTAACAAGAAAGTAATTGGGTAAAAGCCCAATTCTGCCATGTTAAAGAATTCGTGTGAAGTAATTCTTTAAGTTATTATAGAGCAATTCAATTAATAATGGTTCTAATTTTCATTATGACACATAATTAAGAATAAACATCTTCTATATCAAAGCCTATCTTTTAAAAAGGATAAATTAGCTATAACACACTTAACTATTTCCAGAACATGAAATGAACACATATTGTTCCATTAGTTAATTTTATATCACCAAATTAAAGACAGTTCAAAAGGAGTATAATCTCATAAGGATCTCTCTTTGTTCAGTCTGTTGTGACTTATTTCAGGAGGTACAACAAATACAGTTTCCTATGGAGCTAAATACTATTAGGGTGATAAAATGATTTTACTTTAGCATATTTCGTGCATCACTATGAGTTATATACCACAATGGTAAGAATATTTTTATCTGATATTTGCAGATGCAGTTTTGTACTCCTGTATATCTTGCAGGCTGTTAGGATGCTTGATTGAGACCACCAAAAGCTCCACTATAAAACAGCAAACACAATAAATAAACAATAAAACAACATCTGGAATGTAACCTTTTGTCCATAGCCCTTAGGTAGTCCTTTCATGCTTGCTGGGCTGGCAGGGCTGCCCGTTCCTTGGGATTTTGCTTGTAGGGGTCAGAAGCTGCATCACTCCACTGAAACATGCCTGCCATTGAGATTTCCATGGCAGAATTACAGCAAAGTACATTTCCATGTTTGAAACCATTGAAAACATTTCATAAATACACAGTAAGAAAGAAAGTCTGGCAGATTTTCTAATTCTGGGTGCCTCTGGCAAGACACCATGAAATAAGTAGCTAATGAATTCATTGTCAGCTGTGATGTTGAGTGGCTTTGCTCATCTAGGTTGAGGAGCTTGAGATAGAGTTTCATTACTTGACCAGATTTTTTATCACAAAATAAATTGGATTCCAGTACCTCTGTCCCATATAAAGTATATTTTTGATTGTTCTGTTCTGCAATTAAACAACTCATGGTTGGGAAGAGTCAATCCATTAGGATTTAGTAGGATTTCTCCTAATCCCTGCATTTTGGAAAATTGAGATATAAAGATAATTGCTAGTTAATTCTTTAAGAATTGCATCTTCAAGCTAAGAAACATAACTCTTAAGACCTAAATTATATCAGGTGCACATTATCTGCTAGTAAATTAACCTTGCTTTTTTTTTTTTTTTTTTTTTTTTCCTTGCAGTTCTGAAGGATAAAATCTTAAATTGTCCTGGACTTGAGCAGTAAAGGATAAATTCATTCACTGGCTGACTTGTCATCTCACCATTATGATGGAAAAATGTTCGCTTAAAATAAACCCTTTTTATGCCACTAAAACTGCCTTCAAATACAAGATCTGTTGTGATTTTTAAAACACAAACCCAGCAATGTCAGAACCTGACCCTTCGTCTGGATTTGTGGGAAGCATGGAAAATGGGACTTTTCTGGAGCTGTATCCCACATCCCTTTCAACTTCAGTGGATTCATCGCCCGGCCGTTTATCCAATGTCTATGTCTATGTTTCTATATTCCTTAGTCTCTTAGCTTTTCTCCTTTTGCTACTGATCATTGCACTTCAGAGGCTGAAAAACATAATTTCTTCCAGTTCCTCCTACCCTGAATACAATAGTGATGCTGGAAGTTCATTCACTAATTTAGAGGTTTGCAGTATTTCTTCCCAGCGCTCTGCCCTCTCAAACCTTTCTTCGTGAAAACAGATGAAAGGAAACACAGGGAATGGAAGAGCTTTGTCTAGTTTCTTGGGGAAGTAGTGCATGTAACATTTGCCTTAGAAGACTATTATCAAGAGGTGTTTTTAAAAGTTCCCTTGTTTTTTTCCCCTTTCCTTTTCTAGTTTTCATTTCCCCTTTAATTAATTTTCATTTTGGGCAGTGGATAGTGAATGATATCATCAGTTCTTGCCTGTAATAGTGATGCTGTCTCTTTCTCATGCATAGACGGTGTTCATTAAGAGTATTCCTGCTAAATTGTAATACACTTCTAACTGGATGTGTAATTTTTCTGCTCTAATTGTGACCCCTTCCCTGGTCTTGTATCAGCAATATGCTGACTGTTTTTCTTTTCCTTTTTTAATTATATATGGACTTATGGATGAAATCCCTAAGCAAAAGTACAAAAAAATCTGCTTAAATTATAAATACTAGGACAATTTAAAGTTGTTGATATTGTTTCTTTTTTTTTTTTTTCTTTTTGGTTTTCACATCTTTTTCAGTGTTTATTGATGTTTATAAAACACAACTAATTCCTGAAGAGCGTTGCTTTTGTTTATTTGTACTCCCAACTCGTTCTGTATAAAGTCTACATTTCAGTTTTTGAGTCTATTTGGTTAACTTAGTAAAGCAACTACAAGAACAATGCTCATGGTTGAATGTGTGGAGGTAATTTTGAACCCTGTTGCATCTCACGATCTCATTTGCCTAATGACATGTTCCTCCAGGGGGCAGTTTTTGCTGCTGAATCATAAATACCACACTACTCCTTTTTGTACTTCACGAATACTGCAGCTTATTCTTACTGGATACCAGGACAAACTAGTGGTTTCTTGTCAAAGACCTGCATTTAACAAATACAAATAGCAAGTGAAGAGCTCCCAAACTGTCCTTTAGGGACATGATGTTTGTGAGCAGGGCCAGCAGGGACAGAAATTGCTTGTACTGGTGAGGACTTTCTGGGCCAGCCTTTGTCCTGTGATTTCAGAAATGCCCAGTGGGTGGAGGGGGGCACACAGGGATCTGCATAATGGCCAGGAAGACCTGAGCTCTGACCTGCTGGAAATGCAAGGTGTACCTACAGAGGGTAGGAAGGGAAGGGCAGGATAAATGGAAGTAGCTCTCCCACTTTTCCCCATCAGCATAAGGGAATGACAGTGAGAGGGGAAGAGAAATGGATTCACAAACTCACTCCACGCCATTCCATTGTCATGCCATTTTCTGGGTTATCATTTCCCTTGCTCAAAGTGTAACATGTGACTCCATTCCTGCAGTAAAATAATGAGCAGCTTTGTGAATTGAATCCTGTGGTCAACTGGGCTTTAAATCAAGCCAAACATTCAAATTTGTGATTTGAAGTGCCAAGTGTGACCTACTAGAACTACAACCCCAGACTGGTGCAATGCCTTGCTGTCCTTACTGCACTGTGCAAGCACAGCTCTGTCCTGCCCCTCAAGCCCATGCAAAATTTTGTTCTCATGTCTGGATCCAAGTCACTGGAAAGACCTAAGAAAGGTATGGCATTGACACTGCCTTTTCTGTTACTGACATAACACAGGTGTAACTCTGGGAGATGGGATTATCTCAGCAGGAGCAGCTGCCCTCCCCTCACATGGCACCACTGCCCAGCAGGCCAAGGGGTTAGGGAACACTTCCCAAACACATTTATGCCTCTTGCCGAGCTCTCCATGCATTTGTAAACAAGACAGACTCTGCCATTAGCTACACAGGCTCTAAAATACAAATTTGGAAAGTCTGGTGTAAATATAATAATTCAAAATGCAGCTGCTGTTGCCAAACAATACAGATGATGCTGAGTTGGTGTTTTCAGATTTTAAAAGTGAACATGCAATATGGCAAGTGGTAGTGACTTATGGTGGTGATTAGTTCCTTAAAGAGGCCAAAGAACTTGCTGACTAACAAAGAATGTAAGCCTGCAGACTCCCTGAGCCAAACAGGTTTGATGGATATATTTACAGCTTGGGATATTCTATTCGTATAGAAAAAAGTTTCTTGTATGTCACTTTTCACTGTATTTGACAACTGGCATTGAAAAAAGAGGTAGTTGTTTAAAAGGGATCAGGAAACATTACTTCTCTTCTGAAAGCTCTTTGAAATCCCAAACCTGTAACAGAATGTATTTGTATGTTGACTGGTAAATAGAAATAAACGAGCTGTAAGTCAAGACAGAGCAACTGTTGGACTGTCTTCCCTTACTGACAAAGTTTTAAATTTGTTGCTTCCTTTGCTGCAAATGGAGAAATTTAATCAAAACCTAAGATGAGACCACAGGTCAAGATGGGTGTTTGTTCCCAGCAGTGTGTTTATACTTGCAGATATAGAGACATTTAATATTAAAATACAAAGAGTTGAAACCCCATTGGCTCTGTTCAGTGAGCTGTTGTCAAACTTCACCAGAACAGAAAGTATTTTTCCAATTGCAGAAAATAGGAAAGATAACTGAAACCACATATTTGATTTTGCTTTCTAGTTTACTAGATGCTATTAATTTTTTTTCCATGCTGCAGTGGAAAAAACAGGACTATAGTCATCATGATTTCAGCTGAGTTGCATCTGTTCTCTTCAAGACAGATTTGAATAGAAACAAGTAAGTTCCAACAAAATAGCATCAGGAAAAGTCACAGACGAAAAGTACAATGGCATTTTTGAGGATTGCTAAGTACCAGTTCTAGAAAAAAAAAGAAAAAAGGAAGAAGAAAAGAAATCCACCTGAGAATCTGAGCCTAAGTTAACCTGAGAACACTGGAACAGGTTTCCTAGAGAGGTGGTGGACACCCCAAGCCTGTCAGTGTTTAAAAAGCACTTGGACAATGACATTATCAACATGCTTTAGCTTTTGGTCAGCCCCAGAGTGGTCAGACAGTTAGACTAGATGATCACTGTAGATACCTTCCAGCTCCAAATATTCTACTATTCTATTCCAACTAGAGTTACAGGGATATTTTTTGCTGTGTTCAGTTCTGGGTTCCCAGTAGAAGAGAGAGAGATGTGGAGATACTGCACTGAGCCCATCTCAGGGCTGCTGAGATGATTAAGAGCTTGGAGCATCTCTCACATGAGAGGCTGAGAGAGGTGGGACTGTTTAGCCTATAGAAGGCTCTGAAGGATCTCATCAATGTATATAAATACCTTATGGGAAGAAGAAAGAAGAGCCTTCTTTCCAGGGGCCTTCCCAGTGGTGCCCACAACAGGACAAGAGGCCAAACTGAAACACATGAAATTCCACAAGAAAATAGATTATTGAGGGGGTAGTCAAACACTGGCACAGGTCGTCCAGAGAGGCTGTGGTGCTTTCACGTGCTGACCTGCTTGCAGCTGACCCTGCTTTGGGCAAGAGGACTGGATCCAACAATCTTCAGGCAGCCCCCTTCATGTCAGTGCAAAATCTCAGAGGCTTCTGGCTCACTGCCTCCTCCTGATGTGTTTTCTCATCCCTGGAGCTGAGTAAGCAGTATCTTTACTGGGCAGTAATTAGTTCAATAATTTGTTGCTGAAGAGCTGCTCAGCTCCCCCTCCTCCCTGCAGCCAAATACTTTTCCAGCTTCTCCACTGCCTTTTTGTGGTGTGGGTTCACATTTCACAGTCAGCTTTTTCCCTGAGCTGTTTTCCATTGTTACTGAGCCCTCTAACTCAAACACTGCCATTAACTTTGTTAAGATATGACTCCAAGACTGCATGGCATCAGATAGTTGCAAAGTATACCTGGAAATCTATAGAAAAAAATATTAATAAAACACGGATGAGGAAAGAACTGAAGGAGTTACTGGAAAATGCAGAAAAATTATTTTGCTTTAGTTCACCAAATACAGTCCATTCAAGGATATTTAATCATAGTACCTGCTGAAAGCTCTGTATCTAAGCAGCCTCTATATCTAAGCCTCTAGCAGCCTCTGTATCTAAGACTCTCTCACACTGTTTGTCACCTTAGCCCTACTGTGAAATTAATCCATTATATTTATCTGCCCTGAAGATCACCACATTATTTTCATCCTGAAACAGTGTCATGCTTTTCATTTAGCAACTCTTCAGCTCTGTGGAGAGTTTATTCCACTAAAATAATTTTCTGTGTTCAGCCCTTCTCTACCAGCTCACCTGAAAGCTGAAAGTCTTGTCTGGATTTCCAACAAGTCTTTTACCCTGGGAGCAAGCATTACTGCTCTTCTGTGCAGCGTGTTTGCCTTCCCCTCGCTGTCTAAGCCCGTGGTACTCTGGCAAGGCTGAATCCCCAAGGAACATCATGTCCCACTGTACATGAGTTTTTTCTCTTCAGCATTTTTCACTTTTTTTTCAGTGAGAGCCCTAGCAAAGACACTTTCGTGGGTAGATTATTTATGAGGTCCATCCATGTACCTCCCATTCTTCTTGCTAGTCCTGTTTGCACTGCATCTGCTTTGGCTGTCCAAGGAGACTTGGTGAGTTCCAGCCCAGCTGCTCCCGGCTCAGGGACCTTTCCGTGTCCACTGCCCTCTGCAGCCTCCCAAAAGGCAAGGGCCCCACTCTGTGGCTACAGCAGATGATTACATGCCCTCAATGCAGGGCGCAAAACTAGCCTGAAGGAGCCTTTTTTTTTTTTTCTCTCCAAGAAAAGTGGGCTTGCTCTTGCCTGTAGTAGCCCTCAAGCTGCTTTACACCTCAGTGATGCCAGGCAGTTGGATGTGCCAGTGCGACACAGCCCTGTGCTCACACCACTGCTCCACAAAGCTCCTGGCTCGCTCACACCACCCAAAATGTCCAAGAGGGGCTTGGCCAAGGTCACTTTCCTGGTGCCAGATACAGGTGTTCTCCCAGCTCCTCCCAGCACTGTGCTTTGGAGATAAAAGCAGCGTCAACCTGCTGCGTATCCCCTTCCAAGGGCAGGTAAGCCCATTAGTGTAATCATGATATCACCATGTGTAGTGTAATCACCATGCAGGTGACCTCAAGGACCAGGTGAGTTGAGCTATTTTTCACTTCTGTTTTCTTTGTTTTAGATCAGTGGGAGCTGATCACCCTCTGAAAGTCTGAAAAGGGCTGGTGGCTCGCAGGCTATCAATGTATAGAATCTCCAAGTGCCTTCTGAAAATTGGACTGGCTCCTTGGCATAGTTTCACTTCACCTTCTGTCCCTTATA